ACCTGCCTTCAACCTAAAAAAAAATCAGCAATTTCCAACATGTGCCAGTGACTATTACCACCAAACTGCTGCACATGAAAACATCATTTCAGTTCCATCTCCAGCCTCTGCATGAATAGATCAACCTCTGCCACCACCTGCGTAATGTTAAAGACGTCTGCCTCCAAAACAACCAGCAGCCACCTTCACCAGCAGAACGAGGGTGACATACTCCAGCCTCAGCAAAACGCCAGCAGCACCCACCTCCAACTGCAGCATCTGATCCAAATCAGTCGTATCTTTCACCATCTGCAACCTCTAATAGCAAACCAAGCTGCTGACTGCATCTGCTGCCTCTGCCAACATCTTCAGTTGCTGCTTTCCCATGCAGCCTCTACAAAAAAACAACATCCTCTACCCTCACATGTGTCATATGAATGACAGCTGCCTCAAAAGCTTTAAACTCAAGCCTCTACAAGCAACCTGCAACTACCTCAACCTGCAGATTTTGGCTTAAAGCTGTAGCCCCTGCCTCAAACTGAAGCCTGACCTCTCAGCAGCAGGAATCTTTAGCCAAATCCACCTGTAGAATGTTTCAGAAAGCTGCAGCCCATGACTCTTACTCCAACATCTGCAAAACACCAACAGTCAGTCACCTCTAACTGCAGCCTCCAACAGAAAACAAAATCCACCTGTACCTCCACCTGTGCTCTATGTCAGACGACTGCCTTACATCTCAAGCAACTGTTGTGAACCAGCAGCCACCGCCATCTGCATTTTCTTGCTCCTTGTCTAACCTCTGCCAAACACCAAGAGCCATGACTTCAAGTGAAGGCTCATCCAAAAACATAAGCCTCGACTACGTTCTGCACAGTATTAAAGACAGTTGCAATGTGTCCACTGCCTCCCCCTGCTCTGTGTTGCTGAAAGCCAAACACTAACAGAAGCCTCTGCCAAGAAATCACCCCTACCACAAACTGCACATTTGGTAAGTTCCCAAAACAGTATATTATTGCAACTTTCAGCTAGGTCCACCTGCATATTTCTTTGCCCTTACTCCAACCTGTCAAACTCTTAGAGACATAGGCTCCATATTTAACCTCTGCTTTAAACCAGCAGCTGTTGTCTCCATCTGTAGCCTCCACAAGCAGTTTCGTTAACTCAGCCTTTTTCATCGCCAGCAACCTGCAGCTGCTTCCTCAACCTGCCATCTAAACTTCCAATACCTTCAACCCCAACCTTTCTCCAGCACCAGCAGCAGCCTTTACCTGCAGATTGTGTCTGACAGCTCCATGTCTCCACCTGAAGCTTCTGCGAGATAACATACGCCTATACCTTCATAATTACTATTTAAAAGGCTGCTGCCTTCAATGGATCATACTTAAGTCTCTTCCAAAACCCAGCTGCCAACACCTTCAACTACAACCTCGGAAGACAACGATTAGCTTTTATCTCTGCCACACCAACACCTGCCACCACCTATTGCAGCCGATATCTTCATCCTACATCTCCAACCTCCAACTTAAGCCTCTGCCAGGAACTGAAGCTGCCTCCGCCTGCAGTGTAAGGCACACACTTGCAGGCCTTCGACTTCAACCTCAGCCAATCAACAACAGCCAGTGGCTTCAAACTACAGCCTTTGACACAAATCTGCGTCTAGTGTTCCCACCTGCAGCCTCCAATAGCAAATTAAGTTACTCCACCTGTTGCGCTGCCGACTCCACCTGTCGGAAAACATGGGTATATATCTCCACTTTCACAACATAAAAGACAGTTGGCTTCAGTGCCTCTTACTGAAGCCTCTGCCATCAAAATTGAGCTGCCTACAGCTCATTCAGTTTGTGACAATTTGTGACTGAGCTGAAGACCTCAAACTCCAAGCCATTATCTTGTCTTTTTTTTTTTAGCATCTGTCAATCTCTATCTCCAGCCTTTTTACTTATCCATCAGTCACTGTCTTGTTCAGCACAATGTTAAAGACTGTTGCCTAAATCGTCTCAAACTCAAGCCTCCGCCAGCAACATGCAGCCAGCTCCACCTGCAGTTTAAGGGTGACAACTGTTCTTGCCTTGTATACTCCAACCTCGGCCAAACGCCAGTAGCCACCAACTTCCGCCTCTGATGCATATCTGTAGCCTCTTCCTCCACCTGCAACCTCTAAAATTAAAACAAGATGCCTCTCCATGCAACCTTGACTAACTTTTAGCCCCAACCCGAAAACATCAACCTCTACCTTCATCTGTGGAATATGCAGGACAACTGCTTCAAATGACTCCAACTGAAGCCTCTGCCAGCAACCTGCAGCAGTTCACATCAGAAATTATTGCAGTTTGGGGCGTATACAGTTCATTCCTCAACTTTTTTTCATTACTGGAAACTAACAGTTGTATCTCATGTCATAAACACAAACTTCAGCCAAACACCAACAGCCACTACCACTAACTGGAGCCTCTGTCAGCAATTATCAGTTTTCACCCCCACCTGCAAATTCTCACAGCTGTAGGCCAAATCATCCTCTCCGACCTCAACAACCTCCAACTGCCTCTACATGTGGAACAGTTCCAAAGTATTTTAATCCTTATGATATGTACATGACATAATAAAAATAGCAAGTAAGACTTGAATTCAAAATATGTTTGCCTCTGCTTCTTCTTTTTTTTTTGACTATGTTGGAAAATGTCCCTTGTTTGGCTAATACCTTGTTTGGCTAATGCCTTTATGGGAATGACATACATTTAAAAAAGAAACTCCTGTACAAATGAGTTTTGATTTTTTTTTATGATTTGATGATTGTAACTTAAAAAGAGCTCTCTATATATTCACATAGAATCACATGGTAACAAACATCTTAAAATATTAAACTTTGTTAAGCAGCAAATTAAGGCCTTTAAATATTGTGACTACAAGACCTCAGTCAGGGTAACCATCAGGAACTATGTGTTGGTTAACACTCATCTTGGAGTAAGAGCTCAGCCAAATGTGTGCTAAATTGACATTTGAGAATGTTCTCATTTCATTCTCCCTACCATTACATTCTGTTCAAGCAAAGAGGAATACAACATTGACAAAGCAGTCAATAAAATAGAACCCTAGATTTATTTACATATGACAAATATAAGGGAAAGATTCACATATTTCTTGTACAGTTTTCAGGTTTTCTTTTGTTTAAAAGTACTTTCCTCCCACAGAGAAACAATATAACTGTTCAAACAGTATTCGACTTGGCACAATTTAATTATCGATTGCATGATTCTGTTACCATGACTGCACTATCTTTGAAACTACAGAATATTAGTAGTTTGATGCATCATTTTTAAGAAAAAACCATGTCAGTAGATTTTGTCTTCCACTTTCATCGCTGATTGACTCCACAGAGAGGAACCCTTAAAATTAGCCCATTGAATGCATTTTTATGAAACTCTGTATGAATCAAGCACTGAGTGACTGTATGGGTGTGAGACAAAAATTCGAAGACATGCAGGACTCGGCCAATGTCCCAGAAACATTGGCTTTGGTTCGGGCTCAAACCCCCCGCAGGAACAAGAAGCAGATCCCATCATCCATCAATGACACACAGGATGTAATGGTGAAGGAACCACCACCATGTCTTAGTTCCAATTGACTGTGCTTTGTAACATTCTGATCTCATGTGTCTCTGAATTTCTACATTCCCACAATAATGCTATCAGTTCATGAACATTTTCGATAGGAAAAATAAGTTGGTGGTCACCCCTATGTTGAGGAGGACACTGAAAGAAATGAACCTACAAACATGACAGGGAGAGAATGTGAGAATACCACCCATAATGCCTGACCCCCAAGGTGGTCTCTCTGAAGTGTTCTTTTCTGTTTTTTCATATTCATGCATTGAGTTGAATTTTTAGTGCAATAAAAAAGAACCTACCTAATATTACAGCTGCTTAATATAGCAATACAAGTGTTCACACTTTAGCTTCTGATATAAGCATGCAGTCTGTTGTTTTAATGAATGCCTGGCTCATGACTTGATATATCTTGGAACACACCCAGCTGCATCTGCATACCAAGCATTTTACCATGACATTATCTTTTTGGTCTATCAATTTGAGGCTGTTTGGAAATTGGTTGTCCTGGAAATTAAGAACCATGAGTAGTTGTTTATGCATCTTTCATTTCAAGCTCTGGTTAGCTTGGATTTTACCATCAAAGGTCGGCTAAGCTTGGGTCAGAGGTTAACAAAATGAACTGTTGCTTTCCTTTTCTACAACCCCTAAACATATGTGCACCACATCACAAGCAATATGAGCAAAGCGGTTTTTCAATCATTTTTTAGCCTTTACATCTTTTAATTTACAAATTATATTTAGTCAGTGACCCATCGACTACCCTGTAATTAAGTGTGCCTAGTGCATGTTATTGGATTTTTTTGTTACTGTGCAATGTGTTCTATTTTTGGCTCTGCCCTCTGCTCTATGTCACTGACTGATTATTCCTCTTGAACATTCCTATAACTGTCTGTATCTGAAACATGTGTGTGATCCTTGATGTACAGTGATTGGTTACAAGTGAGAAAAATCACTAGCCCGTCACAAATACTTAAGAATAAAGATTGTGAAGAATGCTAAGAATTTCTTTGTTTCTTCTAAATGCGTTATTTCCACAGAATCAGACAAAAAGTTTCACCCTCAAGCTGGGAAAAACCATTTCATGGAAATGTCTGCTTGTCATATCCTCACAGTTTCCAGTGCCTCCCTAATTATCGCCGTCAAGTGTTTACAGTGTCTTCATTAGCAGCCAGCCCCATAATGATAACAAAGTTTGAAGGAAGGCATCAATGGTAGTGATAAGCATGGCCAAGCTACTATTTTGGTTGACACAAGTCCCCGTGTTTACTCTGGGAGCATGGGAGCGGACATCAGGACAGTGGTCCTTGTGTTTGGGATCTCCATTTTCAACTTTTGCAATCGCAAAGTCTGTTTTCAAGCTGGGAAGAAGGTGATGTTTGTTCCAGATTAGTGGCTTAGAAAGAGTCAAACTTTAAAATGCAGAGCTCAAGATCATTCCTGTTTCAGGTGTGTTTGAGTCTGGTGGTTTCTGTCTGCTCCGGCACATGTAAACCTCTCCATAATGACATCCAGAGTGACTATGGGGAGGAATTCTACTCTCAGCTGTCAGAGCAGGACCTTCTGGAGGAGGAAGACACTGACGCCAGGATGGCGAACCTCCTGGGAAGCATGAAGGAGAGCTTTTTAAGGAAACTCAACCTGTCGGATGTTCCTCAGGAGCAAAGCAAGATCTACCCTCCTCAGTTCATGATGGAGCTCTACAATAAGTATGCTTCTGACAGCTCAATCCCTCAGTCTGATGTCATACGAAGCTTCACTGTGCAAGGTAAGTGAAGAGGTAACACTTAGAAGAACATAGGTCCAATGTGTAATTATCATCTGTCAATCTAATGAGACGTTGACATGCCAATGACGGCTTTTAACCTTCTTAGTCATCTCAGTTATTTAACACAACCTTGGTATAAATATCTGGAAATCCCTTTCCACTTAGTTTAGGCTATCACTTTTATATCACTTGCCAATGTTATCCATGTTAGACATAGTTGAGTTATTTGCTTTTACCAATGGGTAATGGAAAATAAGAAATGGAAAACTTAAAATGAAAATTAGAAACTCCTAAAAATTTAAATGAAAATAAACATTGAGACAACAATGAGAAAACCATTGTTGGTATCCTTGTTTATGAAGACATAAAAAACTCAAGATATGAGAAAACAACCAAAGTTCACTCGTTATTGTGCAAAAACAGAGAATATTGAAATATGTAAATCCATGTCCCATTACGGCTTCCTTACTTTCCACAATTAAAGTGAGTATTTATCATTGACTGTAAATACAAGCCATTGGTTACTGAAGTTGGCTTTGGAAGCCCGTCAATGGTTCTTGCCATGCTGGAAATGATGTCTCAAACTAGGGGAGGCAGGTCATAAGCCCCCCGACAAACCTTCACACCACATCCAGCTATGCGCCTTTTTATGAAAACTCTTATCCTTCATCAAATCAAAACTGATCAGTCATACAAAAATCCATCCCCTGTACAGTCTGTGCATATAGAGACAATTGCGTTATCTGAACCTGGCTGTAAACATGTTGATTTCTGCTGTAAAAACTGGCATTTTGTTTTAAATTGATAAGCCAAACTTGCTAACATTTCCACTTAAAAAATACATTTGGTTTAGCTGATCTGTTAGCAGCTCTTGCACACCAATGGTATTCAACCTGCATTACAGAAAGGAATGGGGCTGGGTAGATCACACATCTGACTGCCATTTGTTATTCATTTTTTAAACCTTTGTCCTCTTTGTATCTCATCAACAGATATCACTCTCTCTGTGACAAATGGCACAAAGTCCAAACACAGGCTGCAGTTCAACATCAGCATTCCCAACCACGAAAAGATCACTACTGCTGAACTACAGCTGTTCTTCACCCCGGAGCCCAGGTCAACGGTCAACTCAAACAGTTTCAGGACCACAGTGAAAGTCTATGAAGTGGATTACAACAATTCCACATCCACAAACCAACTACTGGTGGGCAAAGAGGTGAAAGGCTCGCAGGGCACATGGGAGACCTTTGATGTTACTACAGCCATTCAGAGCTGGATCAAGTTTAGCCATGGAGCAACCGTTTTTGATGTAGTGGTTGATAGGAAGGACTGCAAAACTCCTAAAAGTGGAGAGGAAGGAGTACGCTGCATCAATATGAGCACCTCTGTCGGAGATAACACTTCAGCTGCTTTGATAGTCTTCTCTGATGACCTGGGCAGCAGGAGAAGGGAGAAGAAGAAGGAGTTAAGAGAGATGATTCTCCATGAAGAAGAGACCATCTTTCACTCGGGAGCTGACTGGAACAAAGGAGATCAACTTTCAAACGAGATCCCTGAAGCGGAACATCCACGGAGAAAGAAAAGAAAGGCCGAGAGGCAATACTGCCAGCGGACCTCGCTCAAGGTCAACTTCAAAGACATCGGATGGGACAGCTGGATTGTTGCGCCTCCAGAATATGACGCCTACGAATGTCGAGGCCTGTGCTACCACCCGCTGACGGACGAATCGACCCCATCGAAACACGCCCTCATCCAGACGCTGATCAACATCAGGGATCCCAAAAAGGCCAACATGGCTTGCTGCGTCCCAATCAAACTGGACCCCATCACAGTGATGTATAAGGAGAATGGACGCCTCACTATAAGATATCTTTACGAAGAGATGAGGGTGGCAGAGTGTGGTTGCAGGTAGTCAGTGAGAGTTGGTTTCCTGATGCGACTTAAATGGATTCATTCATGTCACTCGCATGTCCCTCCTTGGATCCAGTTAAAGGAACAAGGTCCACGAAGAAACATGAACACCAGCTACTACTTAGGTCCTAGGTCAATAAGAAAAATTTAATATTACCCCCTTTGCAAACCACATGTAGGCCTATTACACCATGATAATCCAAAAAGTCTACAGTCATGCCAACAGCTCTGTGACAGAGATAATTAGTGTTATTACCAGAATTACAAAAACATGTTTATAATAGCCTATTTATGATATTGTATTTGACCTGTCAACATGTTAACGCCAAGTGTTGGCATGTTAGCATTAAGCTAAACAGTATCATCTACACACCCACAGTGTTAGGCTATTAAAAAACCTACTGATCATATTCATTATCTTATCCAAATGTGTTAGCACTTGAGCTAGCCTGAAACACATGTAAGTTTGTTAGTTTTGAGCTTCATGATTTGATGAGCATGCTCACAATGATAATAAATCATAATGATATTTTGCAGGTATAATAAAGGTCTATGTCAGCTTCATGACCTCTTACGTGTTAGCGAGTTTTCTGACACCCTGACAAGGTTGTTAGCATCTTATTTTTGAGCTACTTGGTGTCCTTGCCATGCACACAATGATAATGAAAACATGCTGCAATTTTTTACAGGTAAAATGGTAATCACATCAACATTGATCTTATGTAAGCGTGTTAACATGTTAGCATTAGCTAATCACTTCTAAAAAAAATAGTATGGAAATATCTTTAGCTTTGCAGGATATTAGACAAGATGCAAAGATTATCAGTCTGATGATTTGGGCTGGATGAGAAGCTGCTCCAAAGGCAAAGATGTTCTTCTCTGTGTACAAATCTTAATGGCTGACTGGTTACATATTACAGACCAAGGTGATGGACAAATGACATAGCCATTCGCTTGAGGTATGCCCCTTGCATGGGGAAGGAGATCATAAAGGTCATGCAATGCTACAATAAAAATGTAATCTTTTTTTTTGTTCGCATTTTAACATTACTCAGCAGAAAACTAAAGGACATAGACGTCTTTTAACTGTTTATTTAATACATGTACATACATCTTGGTCCAATGTGCTTCAATAAAACTAATTAATTATATTATTAAAGGGCAAATAATGTAAAAGTGAACGTAAATATGTAAAAAGTAAAGTGAAAATAAATGTGTAAAGTAAAAAATTGGTCTATGGTCTTATTTTATTACTAGTACAACAAATCAACAATACTTTTTTTCTGAAAGAATTCAAAAGTATTTCTAAAGCTGTCCATAGTGATGAAGCTAATTGACGACAGTAAGATAACATGTAATCCCATCTGTTCATCTGCTGATAACAGGAATACTGTATAATGTGAATAATCAGGATTCATACATTTACTTGTTCAGCTTACATTACTTGTTAAATTTTGTTTGTTACCTCCACTACAAGCGATTCTTAAAGTGACATTTCATACAATTGTTACATTATATAAAGTTCATACTTTTCTAAATAAGGTAAATGAGAAACTGATGGACTCAGTCTGCCAAATCTGTAATAAAGCTTCTAACCCTCGTTCCTGTCTCTTTTAACTTCAGGTGCTGACTGTAGGCTACTAAAAGGTATAAAACACTGATAAAACATCATGGACTAGTTTGCAGTGTTAGTTGTTGATTGCAAGAAAAAGCCTTTTTCACAGCAGTGAAAAATAATTATATCTCTAAATACACCAAACAGAAGCCTGCATCCCAACTACACCTATAAACCGATATGACATGGGGTGTGACAGCTCCAAGATGCAGCCAGGGGGAGTCATTTCTTTCATCATCCTTTGCAGAGTGACAGGATTAAAAGCAGCAAAATCATACCAGTAAACTGTTGACAAGGAATGGATTTACAATTGCAGCACAGTACCAATCACACCCATGGCATGGTGTTGAAAGCAATATAAAGTAACTTTACTTTCACATTAAAATTTCAGTTTGCTTGTTTGAGGAAATGTTTGAGGAAATGAAAGATGTTTGTATTCTTTTAAGTTACTGGATAAAAACATGGCCAATAAATTATTTGCCTACTTATTCATATGTGTTGGGGTTTTTTGTGAAGATTATACTTCGTAAACTCTGCAAATTTGAATTAGCATAACATAGCATTTTTTATTCCATGCCGGTTCACCTGATGGATACAAGTCCAAGCAGTCTTGCGTTCAAATGGTGGGCAAAATAAATGTCATGCTTAAAAGTTTTCCTCAGTGTTGTATTCTAACTTAATTGTGCCAGGAGTTTAAAACCACTGCTGTCTAACTAGTGTTATATTTAGAACACATAGGGGCAATGACTCTTAAAAGCAGTATACAGTGTTAAGAAGTTATAGTGTCCTGGGAATTGACAAGGGGGATAGTATTATGTAACACTAAGGAGATATTAATGGTTAAGACGTTAGGATTAGCTGAGCAATGTCTGGCATTGCAAAGGAGATGACAAATGACGAGTAATTTTAAGTTTCAATGACTTTGTTAATCATTGTCTTAAGTAATAATTTCATTCAAAATATAGGTTTAAGCTAAATGTGAAAATAAAAGAGTTTAGGAGATACACCATTTTATTTAAAGGATAGGATCCAAAATGGCACAGGAAGTTACAGTATGTTCTATTATGCATCAAATTAAAATATATTTTAAAAATAATAATAATAATAACCACATGAAGCATTTCAGGGGGGGAAAGCAAGACAGGCCAAAAGTAAGTGAGCAGATAATCCAACCTTAAATTCAAATAAAGAAATTCTATTAGGCATGAGTTTTAAAATGCTCCACCACGTGTCTATAAACTGTGTAATAATTTCACCAGTGGATCAACCCAGACATGAGCTCTAAAGCCAACAGTACCAAAATACACCAACATCAGCTTTCATAACAGACACAGGAGAGAGAGAGAGAGAGAGAGAGAGAGAGAGAGAGAGAGAGAGAGAGAGAGAGAGAGAGAGAGCGAGAGGGAGAGAGAGAGTGTGTGATCCCGCTTTCACATCAGTCAGTCTACAAAACAAGTTTTGCCTCTTCCTTGAACCATCTTATTATTAAAAGAAACATTAAGTGGGTCCACTATAAATGAGATAACATGTGGTTGGCTCCCAAAAAACTGAGGTATGGAAATGTTTGCCTAAATATTACAAGTTTATGTAAAATGAGGTATGTAAACTATACCCCTTAGAATAAGACAAAAAAACTGCATAAGAATATAAACAATGAGAACCTAAACAGAAGTGATGTATATGTGAGAAAAAAGCAAGTGACTGCATAGGCTCTTGTTGAACATTTTTTATTGTCTGTTATTGTCTGCACGTTGAAGCATAGCAGATAATACGATTAAAGGTTTATTTGGGACAAAAGCCTCTTAGTTTGATTTTACCAACCAAACTGACAATGACATCGTTCCCTCCCACAATAAAACAGAACCTCTCGACAGAAATAAATGGACTAACACAGCTCAGTGAGAAAGAAGACAGAGTATTTCTCTTTCCAGGGTTAATGATTTTAGAAATTGAAAATGATACAGTCCGCACCTCCCCTGCTATTGATGCTCCTTCTATGTCCTGTGAGCTCAACTTTCCAGCCTGCCCTGGTGTTAGAATTGGCAAAGATTCTACTGGATAACTATTGCTTTCCTGAAAACCTGGTTGGGATGCACGAGGCCATTCAACAAGCCATAAACAGCGGAGAAATCCTGAGGATTTCAGACAGGAAGACTCTAGCCGCTGTGCTTACAGTTGGAGTACAAGGGGCACTGAACGATCAAAGGTTGGTTGTCTCATACGAGCCAAATTTCATGCCACCAATGCTACCATCTCTACCAAAAGAACAGCTGTCCCGGCTGATAAGAAACTCTGTCAAGCTGGACACTCTTGACAACAATGTTGGATATTTGCGGATGGATTGGATCATTGGAAAAGAGACAACAGCAAAGCTTGGCTCTCGGCTGAGGGACAACATCTGGGACAGAGTTGCTGAAACATCCTCATTGATCTTCGACCTCAGGTATTGCACAGCTGGAGAATCGTCTGGGGTTCCCATTATAATCTCCTTTTTCTCAGACCCTGAGATCCTCATTCATATTGACACTGTGTATGACAGGCCCTCAAATACCACCAGGGAACTATGGACAATGCCATCAGTAATGGGTAAAAGGTATGGAAGGAAGAAAGATGTAATCCTTTTGACCAGTAAACGCACAATCGGTGCTGCTGAGGCAGTGGCATATGCGTTAAAAAATCTCAAGAGGGCCATTGTTGTCGGGGAGAGGACTGCTGGGGGGTCAGTAAGTGTCCAAAAGATAAGAATCGCTCAGACAGAGTTCTACATAACAGTTCCTGTGGCCAGATCAATAAGTCCAATCACAGGCCAGAGCTGGGAAGTTCGTGGAGTTTCCCCAACTGTCAAAGTCAACGCCAAGGAAGCTGTGGTAAAAGCAAAGTCCCTTCTAGCTATAAGGAAAGCCATTCCAAAAGTTGTGCAGAATATCTCAGACGTAATCGGGAGGTTCTACGCTTTCACTGATAGGGTTCCGAGTCTTCAGCAACGTCTTCAATTAACAGACTTATTTTCTGTGGTATCCAAAGAGGACCTAGCTGCCCGACTCAACGAGGAGCTCCAGATGGTGTGTGAAGATCCAAGACTCAACATCAAATATAACCAAGACGATGCTCCTATAGAAGAAGAGGACCCTGAACTCTACAATGGACTCAGTCATGTAGCGTTATTGACAGAGCTGGTAGACACAACATTCAAAGTGGAAATTCTCTCACATAACACTGGCTATCTTTGCTTTGACAAGTTTGTCAAGTCGTCTTCTTCGGGTGAACTAGAAGAGCTCATGGCTAAAAAGGTATGGGAACCCCTCAAGGACACTAACAATCTGATTATTGACCTTCGCTTTAACACAGGTGGGTCCTCAACCTCTCTGTCACTAATACTGTCCTACTTGCAAGACAGATCTAAGAAACATCACTTTTTCACGATATATGACAGAATTCAGAACATATCCACAGAATATGACTCTTTGCCTCTAATAACAGGCCCAACCTATGGCTCCACACGTGGGGTTTATGTTTTGACCAGCTACCACACAGCAGGTGTTGGCGAAGAGTTTGCCTACCTGATACAGTCCCTACATCGTGGCACAGTTGTTGGGGAAATTACATCTGGTAACCTGATGCACTCAAAGACATTCCCAATAGATGGCACAGATATAGCCATCACTATCCCTTTCATTAACTTTTTAGACAACAATGGTGAATGTTGGCTTGGAGGTGGTGTTGTCCCAGATGCCATTGTGCTAGCTGAGGAAGCTGTGGCCAATGTTTATGAGATTGCTGATTTTCACCAAGGACTCAGGTTCCTCCTAGAGAGAACTGGAGAAATGTTTGAAAAATATTATGCAATCCATGAGGTTGCACTTACTGTCGGCAAAGAACTGTTGAGCAAATGGGATGAGGGATTATACTGGTCTGTGGTCGACTTTGAATCTTTGGCCTCTCAGTTGTCGGTCGACATCCAAGAGACTTCAGGTGATCACCGCATTCATGTTTTTCACTGCAATGTCGAGCCCGAGGTGCCTCATAATGTCCCAAAGATTCCTACTGCTGAAGAAGTGGGTTACATGATTGACGCTTTGTTAAAACTTGATCTCCTACCAGGTAATGTTGGCTTTCTAAGGTTTGACATGATGGCAGATGTAGAGGTGGTGAAAGCCATCGGGCCTCAGCTGATAAAATTAGTTTGGAGTAAGATAGTAAACACAGACGCCCTCATTATTGACATGAGGTACAACACTGGTGGATATTCAACAGCAATTCCTCTCTTGTGCACCTATTTCTTTGATGTTGAACCTTTGCAGCATATTTACACAGTCTTCGACCGTACCACAAACACCATGACAGAGGTAATGACATTGCCTCAAGTGATGGGCCAAAGGTATCCACCGTCCAAGGACGTCTACATTCTCACCAGTCATATGACAGGGTCAGCAGCAGAAGTGTTCATGCAAGCAATGAAGGAGCTTAATAGGGCCACAATCATTGGGGAGCCAACGATTGGAGGGTCTTTATCAAGTGGAACCTATCAGATCGGAGACAGCGTCCTATACGCTTCCATCCCTAATCAGGTTGTGCTAAGTGCGATTACTGGTAAAATGTGGAGTACTTCAGGGGTTGAGCCTCATGTCATTGTCCAAGCCAAAGACGCCCTTCCTGCAGCTCAAAGAATGATAGCAGCAAGACTGCAGAGCAGAGAGCAGAGAAAGTAGTTCCTTATTTTGTGTTATGATTTTACGTAGAGCGATTATTTAGCCGATGTACAGTAATGTCGGATCATTGTTTCATGCGTGGCAGTAGTTGCGTCCTCGTAGTTGATGAACTGGTCAAGCCGTTCACTTCAAATGGCTAATGTTCATAAAGCTGTCTTGCCCTGTCATCTAGTTATCTAGTAATGCTATTTAAGGCATTGTTGTTTGCAAATATTTTCCTACAGTTTTCCAACTTTCAACTTTATTGTCCCAGAGGGGAAATGTTGGTATGCAGCCAGGTGAAAACAATATAAAAAACATTTAGAAACCCAGGCACATAGACTCAGGTAACAGAAACAACATACACCATGAACAACATTGAATACATAAATACAAGAGTTCCTTAACAATGCCGATTGTATGATGTTTTCATCCACACAGAATTGTACTGAATATTTAATAATGACACATGTCATTACAGTGGGGAATTTATAAGCTGTGGATCAAATCTCAAATCCACCAACATCCACTCTGCAAACTGTTAAAAGAGATTTCAATGTTAAACAACACATCGACATTAAAACATTATAGACATAATTGTATATATGTATTGTAAACTAATTATTATGCTCTGTTAAGTAAGCTATAATACACTCTTTGTATTTATCAATTACCTTATATATCCCAATCTCTATGTTTTATTTTTCCATCATTTAAAACAGATTTTTCCTCCTCTGTTTAATAATTTCTGTTGATTCAATTTAAAGTATTTCTTAAGTAAATATAATACTGAACTAAATGAATGCATGAATAAAAAATGTATACATATGAATGTTAATGTTTTTATTTCTGAAGAACGTTTAGTATTTTCTTTCCTCATTTTTAGATTTTTCTGTTCAATAAACTTTGTTTCTGTAAGTATTCTGACTGTGGGTTTTCTTCAACTCTCCTTTTCTAAAACCTTACAGCAGAGGGAGCAAGTACATTGTAATCCTTAACTAAAGGGGGGGGGCATCCACCAACAACTGAGCAACTGCTTTTTAATGTGTACCATTTGTGAATCAATAACATGTCATGTTTTATATTATCTCTGATTTATCCTTCAGACATTAACCAAAATGTTTCTCCTTCACCATCAAGAATAATGAGTAAATAAAACATCAATTTATTTTTTGTGTCTGACCATTGGACAAGTATTTGTAAGAAACCACATGCTATACTTAAACTGTTCTTGTATTTTCTACCTTAAAAAAATACACAGTCAAATTACTTGCAATTTAAATACCAACACCAAAGAGCAATATAATTAAATAGTTATTTGGGAGTAAGAAAACATTCATGACAAGGGTTGATCTAAATAGGTGTTTAAAACACTTTGTGTTAATTTAAGGAGAGTATCTTTGGCAAGAACGCCTTGTTGTTACACCCACTTGGCTAGGTTATTATTGCCATACAGAGGCACTCAGGATAATACGATTAGAGGTTTATTGCGGGTTAAATCCTCTTAACTGTGTGTTAACAGAATCCTTCCAGACAAAACAGAGCCACTTGACAAAGAACCTCCTCGGAGCAGGAGGCTTGGCTCAACATCCTCCACTTTCCATCAACTCACTTTTTTCTGACTGAAGTGACAAACATGGCAAAGGCTGTCTTTTTGGTAGCATCTTTGTTATTGTTGGGAAATGCCATCTTTATCCATGCTGCATTTCCCCCCAACGTCATCGTCGATATGGCTAAGATTGTCATGGACAATTACTGCTCACCAGAGAAGCTGGCGGGCATGAAGGAGGCAATTGAAGCAGCTGGCAGCAACACAGAGGTTCTCAACATCCCAGATGGTGAATCCTTGGCTAATGTCCTCAGTGCTGGATTTCAGCTAACAATCAGTGACCCACGCTTGATGGTCTCCTATGAGCCGAACTACATCCCAGCTGTGCACCCTCAGATGCCTCCTTTGCCCCCTGAGCAGCTCATTGCCGTCCTCCAGACCTCAATCAAGCTTGACATCCTGGAGGGGAATATCGGCTACTTAAGAATCGATAATATTCTTGGAGAGGAGGTGGCTGAAAAGGTTGGCCCTTTGCTCCTAGACCTGGTATGGAATAAAATCTTGCCAACCTCAGCTCTTATTTTTGACTTGCGCTACACTGGCAGTGGGGACATCTCAGGGATCCCCTATATTGTGTCTTACTTTACCGAAGCCGAGCCTCAGATTCACATTGACAGCGTGTATGACCGTCCCTCAGACACCACCACTAAGCTGCTTTCTATGACCACACTGCTGGGGGAGAGATATGGTGTCATCAAACCCCTCATTATACTCACCAGCAAAAACACCAAAGGCATTGCTGAGGACGTCGCCTACTGCCTTCAGAATCTGAAGAGGGCCACCATTGTGGGTGAGAAGACCGCCGGGGGCTCTGTGAAAGTAGAGAAATTCAAAGTAGGCGACACTGACTTCTACGTTACCATTCCAACCGCAAAGTCCATCAATCCCATCACTGGCTCCAGCTGGGAGGTTTCAGGTGTGACTCCGGAAGTGGAGGTCAATGCTGAGGATGCCCTTGCAACTGCCATTAAAATCGTCAACCTCCGTGCCAGTGTTCCAGCAATCATCGAGGGATCGGCAACCCTGATTGTTGACAACTACGCCTTTGAAGATGTCGGGGCTGAAGTGGCAGAAAAATTGAAAGGGCTCCTTGCAAACGGCGAGTACAGCATGGTTCTCTCCAAGGCCGCTCTGGAGGCCAAGCTGTCTGCTGACCTGAAGACCCTGTCTGGGGACAAGAGCCTGAAGACTACCAGCAACATCCCAGCCCTGCCCCCCGTGGTGAGACGCTTTTGAAATCAAAAGCATTATAGAATATGTTTGATTCATGTGAATTTGCTGTAAAGAAAACCCTCTTAACCTATTTTGAGTAAGGAAAATGGTTTTGATTACATTACAATTGTTGGCCTGTATGTTGCTATCCCACAGGATTATTCTCCAGAGATGTACATTGAGTTGATCAAAGTCTCGTTTCAAACTGACGTTTTTGAAAACAACATTGGCTACCTGCGTTTCGACATGTTCGGAGACTTTGAGGAGGTCAAGGCCATCGCCCAGATTATTGTTGAGCATGTCTGGAACAAAGTGGTCAACACTGATGCCATGATCATTGACCTCAGGTGGGTAATCCTGCTCACGGTGCAAATTCAGTGTGTCCAGTTTTGGAAACAAATCATCTGCTAAAGCTTTTCAAGCTTGTCAATCCACATCTTTAAATAAAGGACTTAGACTGTCTGTCTTAGTCCGGATAAGTTTAGTGTTGTATTTTAAGGATCTGGCTATTTTTAACCTTATTGCCTGCATAAATAAAAAGTAAACATGTTATCACTGAATTTCATTTTTGTTGTTTAACTGATTTTGCAGGAACAATGTTGGAGGTCCCACTACAGCCATCTCAGGGTTCTGCTCTTACTTCTTTGATGCTGACAAGCAGATTGTGCTTGACAAGCTGTACGACAGACCATCCGGCAGCACAACAGAGCTCCTGAGTCTGCCTGAGCTCACTGGTAAATAAAGAAAAATCAAAGCATTTCACTCATTGTGAGGTTCAGTGAACTTCTGTAAACAACGTTTGCAGGTGCAGCTACTGTAGGAAGTCAAACAGTTTCACAAGAGGAGGTGGAGACATTTCCTGACAATTTCCCAAGAAATTGGGCAGTAGAGACCAAAAACAGAGCAAAAAGAAAGATTATATTCAAATTAATTCACTGGGTAGCGCAACACATAATTGCTGACTTTGCTGCACACTTGTAAAATGATGCTATGGCATCTTAAAATTTGAATAATGTCAATATAACAGCTTGGTTCCATTGCTCCCAGTGGCCTGATTTGATTTACATGTAAACTTACATACAGGTTCTTAATGAATTAATGAAAAGAAGTTTCTTGATGAATAAAACATCATATATTTGGGTTAGGTTCCTATCTTCTGTGTATCCTTCATCTTTCTGTATCCATGACTCATGTTTATAGTCCTTGGTTTGTCTTACATTTTCAACCCCACATCCTTCATTCTCTTCCTCAGGCACAAGGTACGGCTCAAAGAAGAGCCTGATCATCCTGACCAGTGGAGTGACTGCTGGAGCTGCAGAAGAGTTTGTTTACATTCTGAAGAAGCTCGGCCGTGCAATGATTGTTGGAGAGACCACCGCCGGGTCCTCCCACCCACCCCTGACCTTTAGTGTTGGCGAGACCGGCGTCTTCCTCAGCATCCCCACAATCCACTCCGACACTTCGACCGGGCCAGCATGGGAGGGAGTTGGAATCACACCGCACATACCCGTGGCAGCTGACGCTGCTCTCGGCACAGCCAAGGCCATTTTCAACAAGCACTTTGCAGGCCAGAAGTAAAAATCACTACCTGAACAAAGTCAGGGGTCTTTTAAACAGTCAATTTTGCTCTGGCAGCCAAATGGTTACAAGATTTAGAATTTAGAAACGTTGATGGAGAGAGGAATGTAGATTAAGTACAAAGTTTAATCTGCTATTCGTCATCTCAGAACCTAGGCCTTTTAAGCCTGCTAATAATGTAGAGCAAAGGTTCACCAGGAGGATTTACTTCAAGTTTTAAAATGCTGTTGAATCTAACACAAAATGTTAAAGGTTTTTAATATGAGTGCTACTAAGGAGCTGTCTCTTTAAGGAAGTTTCGTGCAACAATCAGTAACATCAAAAGAGTAATTTTTGAGAAGTCACAAATATATGATTTGATTTTTTTGATTGGGACCTTTTTGATGTAATCCACTTGTTGGCAAATGATGACGTTGTGTAAGTTGGAAACATTGTGTGTCCACTACGCTATGTGGGATTACTCGGGCTATTTCAGTGGTGATACACAATAAAAAAGACAAATCAAAAACAAGAAGTGTGTTTGTTGTGCGTCTTTCCTATAATCATTTGTGCAGACAGTTCCTCTTTCAACTGAAACAGATTCAACCTAGAATAGATTCCAAACACCTGGGGGGGAAAATCCATCAGTCAAGCAACACAAATGTACTGTAAGAGACTTTAATAGACTAAAGGTAAGTAATATATACAGTATGCTCAATCCAATTGACTTAAGACAATGCTATGCAGCTTCCAGAACTTGTTCTGTACAATGACAGGACAAAAGTAAAGATCCCACTGTGTTTAAAGGAAGAATGTGTGACTTTTTGATCCAGTAGATGTCGCCCTTGAGCACCATCAAGAAACCAAAACAAACTGCTGTTTAGCGACACCTCCTCTATTCTGAAGCCTCTGCTCTCCTCCAGCGACACAGCTCCAACCCCTCTCCACTCATGTTCGCATGAAGGAGTTATCAGTTAGACTGCACCATAATAAAGCACCATTAAGCGCAAAATTGTCCTTTACTCGAGCTGCCTGTGTCCTGCATTCTTGTGTTAGCAGGCTAATGTTAGCACACTTTGGTAAACTTGTAGCTTCATATTGCACATAAATTGACACAGAATGACTTGCATCTACATCCAAATAAGCAGTGAGTAGGCTATATTATACTCTTCTTTTTTCTAGTCCTTGACTAAAACAGCTTTATACGTAAGGCTGTCCCGTCCATGTAAACATGATGGAAACACGGCTCAGACAACAACACAGCCAGCGGGCCTCACGCTTCTCACTCATTGTGGACAGTCATAGAGACATTTACACAGGATATACTTGATCTTTGCTTTATATACTGTATGTGTAAAATGTTGCACACTCTGCCTTTAACGGCAATCATATCAATTATTGGAGGATCATGTTTGTCTTTGACAGCAGACAGTAGAATAACCTAAGCCCGTGTTTGTTACTTAGCATAATAGAGGCTAAATAATACATACAAGTTTTGTTACCGCAAATATTTGTCATATATAGAGAAAATAATGAATTCCCTGTTTGATCTACTGTAGAAAAAAAAGCTTTGTTGCTGCAGCTCTAAGCTCAGATCAGAAACCGGTTTTAGTAAGTGAACAATACATTCCATAACACGGATACATTAATACACGTTTCAAAAACACATCACAATATTGTGAAAACAACAGACTTGAACCCATTTCATGTAGTAGTCCATTTCACCATGATATTGTAAAAGAAAATGTATCACAGAGTTAAGGCCCATTTGGCAATTTTAGCCCACTATACAGAGGTATTCAAAAGAAAAACATGCAAACAATGAAATGTCCACATTTATATTATTCTAGACCTTGAATTCTAAACTAACACCCTCAGTGTCAATAAAATATGCCTTTCATAAAGCTTAACAGTTCTTTGACAACAACCTAAAACTCCTTAGCAAGTGTTACTGAAGATGCATAAGTAAGCCCTTCTCACCGCTATAATACCAACAGTTCCCTCTATAAAGGGAACTTTCTAAAAAGCTTTATTTTTGTCATTTTTCCAAATGTGAAACACCAATGTGGTAAATAAAAGAGTAAACCACTTTTAAAAGGACATATATAGAGCAGACTATCCAAACAAAACAATCAAACAAACAAAAAAATATTATCAACCCAACTCATAAATCATAGGTATGCCAACCCCCTTTCCCCTCCTGTTCATCCCTGTTCATGTGCCGCAGCTGGGACCAATAGCCTAAGATAAGTTCATGTATAGGAAGCAGGTTAAATAAACAGTCAAACTAAATTTCCAAGATGTAATACTTCCCCTCCAGCCTCTCAATAATAAATTATGTGCATAACAAATGATAGTATGTGGATCAACTCCATATGTTTGATGAAAACAAAACACATTTTGTGTAATTGTGTATTTGTTGAATCCTGTTAAAGTGCTAATAAGCATATATTTGTCACACTCTCCTTTAACTTTCTGCATTAATGATGGTGTAATTACAGAGGATTGCACTGCTCATGCCCCTTGTAATTAACTTGTGTTTACAGCACAGAGTAAGCAAACAAACTTGTACTAATTAATAAGGAGACAATTTTAAAAAAGACAAATTTGTTAAAGTGGTTAGGGGCAGATGCTTATGTCACATTCATCATCCCATATCCTCCTCTGCGCTGGGTCTCCAATAAATGCTCCAGTCTTCCACGTGAGGGAGGCGCAAAATGGGATCTTGACCCATTTTCCCTCTTTCTCTCTCCTCAGTTTGTAATATGAAACCTGGTCAATCTCAGCCAAGTCTGTCCCCCTGGCTCCCAGTTCCTCCAGCGCCAACGCTGCTCTGCATTACTCAGCTTCACTTGGCTTTTTGCGACCTCCATTCCATCATTTTAACTGTTTCAGCCTTTTGCGAATCGTGTCTGCAAAGATTTTTTTTTTTTTGTAAACCATTTTCCTCAGCTACCTGCAACTGTATTTTCAAAATATCCGATTTTTCTTTTTTCAAACATTCCCAGTGAGAGAAAGCTTCTCCCCAGTTGCCTGTTTTGACTGGGATGCGGGTGGTCATGATTACAAAGTGAGCTCCAGCTACAGAGTGAAGTGAACGCATCGCCTGCATCCTCTCTTTTGTCTCAGTTGCATCCCTGCCCTGAAAAATACTCTGCCTCTGGACTGTAAAGAGACACGACAACGTTTTGCTTTATGTTTTCTACTTTTCCACTGAAGGACTTTAATTTTTTTCACCGAGGAAAATTATGGCGATGTTCTGGTTGAACATGCATGTTGTCCTGGTTTTATTCGGATTATTTTGGTGTCTTCTCCATCAACAAGAGCCGAGCCCGAACCCGAGCCGGAGCTGCAGGACGAAGAGGAAGAGGAAAGTTCCTGTCAGGGGGCGTTTGACCTGTACTTTGTGCTTGATAAGTAAGTGGAAACACCGTTATCTATTCATAAAGACATAACGGGAATAACTTTTTGATGCTAATTTGCAGCAGTTTCCCTGGAGAAAAAAAAAAAAAAAAACTTAACAATGTAGCTTAACATCTGCATTTTAGCTACTATTCGTTACTTTTAAGGTTTTATTGTGGGTAATTTTCCTTCGTTTTGTCATACTGTAATGCGGGACAAAATGTGAACCCTATTTTTAGAACATGACACGAGTGACACCGAAATTATAGCTTTTGAAATAATTGTTTTATAAAAAACATTGTGGCTATCGGGGTTGCTCATTAGCGAAGCTGCATCCATCTGATGACGCTGTGAAGGAGGCTGACTTGCAGAGTCGGCTCCAGTGTGCTGAATAAGCAGAAAGAGGGCAGACCGCATTGATGTTACAAATATGTTACCTTTCTATCTCTTCTCGACAAGTAAAGCATGATTTGCTTCATTCAACTCATCAATAAGTTATTCTCCTTAAAATTAAAATAATAAATATAAAATAACTAAAGAAAATAAAGCTTTTCTTGTCTTCAGAGCCATGCTGAAGGGGCTTTTTTTTTTTTTTTTTTTTTTTTGCTTTTTTGCTTAGTGACTGCTCACCGTTCCCTCTTACATTTCCACTCTCCATACGCCCACATAGGAAAAATGATGTGGTTATGTGACATCTTGGCGCTGGACTTAAGCCGGGGAGAGAGAAGAAAAAAAAAAGTCAGAGAGAAGCAGGAGAAACTTTCAGAGTGACTGCTTCACTTACAGTGTCAATGCTGTACATTTAGAAACACATTTCAATGCAAATCCCACTCGCATGTTGTGACTCAACGGCCACTAAAAGAATAAAGAACATTCATTGTGAGAACAAAGAACCTTCTTTTGAAGTTCAACTATATCTACAAAGTGTATCTGAAATAACCTGGATTTAAAGGGTGTTGCTGTTTCAGCCTTTTTATCCTTCATCTTGCGCTGATGGAGCAATGCCAGGAATGGGGAGGGGGAACAAGGGAGGACAGGAAGCAGCAACATTTATGGAAAATGTGGTCTTAATTTGGCAAACAAGATGTTGCACGCACCACCTTTAAAGGCCTTTTGCCACATTTTATATGAGGTTGAAAGATAGAGGAATAAGAAGTCTATAATGCAAATTAGCATCACTGATGAACATCTCACACTGTGTGGATGGCTTTAACCAAAGGGCTTACATTTTTCACACTGATGGCCCGCAGCGGGGATCAGTGCCTGCTGCTTTGATGTAATCACTGGACTTCACATTGGCTGAAGTGGAGACAAAACATGAGACTGCTTCACAGATGTGGAGGGCCGCATTTGGCTTGTGCTATGAGGTAAACACCGACACATGCTGTAAATTAGGCAACAACATCTTTTTTTTTTCTCCAATGTCAGATTCTATTGTTAGCTTGTCTGCGTGCTTTTGGTGCCCACTCTCTGGGTGACTAACAAGGTTTAGCCATGGGTTGTGGACTTCAAACAAGAAGAAGAGGCTCGTTAGAGAGCTCTCTAAGCTAACCCTCGGCCCCATCCCTCAGGCCTGAGCTGGTTTTATGAGAATGGTCTGAACTCTGCCCGGGTTGGTCCATATGGAAGACGTGAAGTGTGTGAGAGGAAGGGATTTTTAGTACAAACAACAGCAGAAGGGAGAGGATACTTGAATGCTGACACTCATTCCTTAATCATTGTGAGACAATAATACATTTTTCTTAGTTTACATCATTGCTTGTTCTCTAGACTCCAATTCTCCATTGTTGTGTTGTTGGAAAAATCCAGACATAAACCTGCTGCTTCTATTCTCCCATCCCCCCCCCCAAACGGACAAATGGTGCACAACATGGTGATTTAGATTTCAGTCAAGTCTTTTGGAAAAATTTGAGGGTACAAAGGACCACACTTTGAATTGATTTGAATTCAGCGTGAGTGGCAGCAGACTGGATTGAGCACTGCTTTTGAGCAGAGGGGGATACAAAGCTGAGAGTTTTGATGTTACATAAGCTGTGGTTATCAGAAATAGCTGCTTTTAATTCATCCCAGTCTTTCTATT